AAAGAAAGAAAGAAGTTGTGTAAGTGACGGGATTTAAGTTTGCTAACCCCCCCCCCCCAGGGTCATTACTTGAGGTGGGTGGCCATATATAAATTTAATGACATAGGCACAAATGACATACACAGGTAGTCCTTTAGTAAGTCCAGAATTCCTATCGCTTTGCGGTTATTGTCATGCCTGATATTACGACCTTTGGGGGTGGGAGGCATGGTTTGCTAAGCCAATCCCTGCAGTTGTTAAGTGAATCACATGGTCGTTAAGCAAATTCAGCTCTCCCTGCCATCGGCTTTGCCGGTCCGAAGCTGGCTAGGAAGGCCGCCAATCAACGATCACATGATCCGGGATGCTGCAACCCCCATAAATATATTCTGATTGCCAAGCGCCTGAATTTCGGTCATGTGACTGTGAGGATGCTGCAACGGTCATAAGTGCGAGGACTGGTCGTAAGTCAACCTTCTTGAACTCTGACCAGTTCAGGAGAACCGGTAGCGGAAATTTTGAGTAGTTTGGAGAACCGGCCAATCCCACTTCTGACTGGCCCCACCAACCCCTTCTATTCTCTGCCTCCCATTGAGTCTCAGCTGATCGGCTGGGTCTCCTTTGGTTGCCCTGCCCAGGAGAACGGAGCTGGAAAGCAGGTTAGTGGGGTGGGGAGGGAAGGGGGCTTCTGCAGTATATCCTTCCCCTGCCACGCCCACCGAGCCACACCCACAGAACAGGAAGTAAAAAAAATTGGAACTCCACCATTGCTCCTTTCGGTCCTTTACCTGCACACAAAGACGCGGATTGGGGGTAAGATGTTTGGGGTCATGATCCAAGGCGCGACCCGGAAAACGACCGTGTCGGTGAAGATCGGGGTCTGTGGAATACCCTGCCGGAACATTTGTTTAAAAAGCAAAATAAATAAATCAACGCAACACTGGAGGCTTTCTATCCTCAAGCATTCCTGGAAAAACAGAACAGGACAGAATCTGTTTTTAAAAATATATATATATATATATATATATATATGAAAAAACTCACATTTTTTGTTATTTGACAGAAAGAAAAAACGCAGAAGCAAGCTGCTCAGAGGAGGCAGGCGTCCAACACAAATGAATAACTAAATAGCCCATTGGCTCCCAGGCAGGGTTTCATCTTGCAGGCGTAATTAATTGGCTAATTGGTAGAAGAAATTGAAAACCGCCGGCCTTTGGATGATGGAGCGAAAACAGTGAGGGAGTGGAGGCAGACTAAGCTTCTGGGCAAACTGGCGGGAGGGTCACCCCAGGGCAAACGGGGGAGGCTGGGCAGCTAGAAATGAGACGCCCAACGGGCCGAACAAGGCTAATGAAATTTGCATTTTTAGGCTAATGAAATTTGCATTTTTAGGCAGGGATTCCCAGAAAGAGCCCCAGGTGGTATTTCGAGCAGGCCGGCAACCCGAGAAGGCGACCCCCCCCCCCCCCCGGCAGTCATGTAAAAACAGCCTCCATCCCTGGCTTGATTGATAGGAGTCTAAAATCATCTGGAGGTGGGTATAGGGCCCAGCTTGGCAGGGAGAAAGCAGATGTGCCCATCGGCCCAGGAGGGGTGGCACTGTAGGGGAAAGGACTGGCAAGTCAAACTGTAAAATCACAACTCTTTATTTCCTTTCCTTTCCTTTCCTTTCCTTTCCTTTCCTTCTTTCCTTTCCTTCTTTCCCCTTTCCTTTCCTTTCCTTTATTTTATTTTATTTTATTTATTTTATTTGTCAATCGCCTACAAGATAATAGGTATAAGTATATAGTTATGAATACATGAAATGGGTACATATAAGAAAAATAAAAGAAGCAATAGGACAGGGACGGTAGGCACGTTGGTGCGCTTATGTGCACCCCTTACAGACCTCTTAGGAAAGGGGTGAGGTCAATAGTAGACAGTCTAAGGTTAAAGGTTTTTGGGGTTTGGGGAAGAAACCACAGAGTCAGGTAGAGTATTCCAGACATTGACCGCTCTGTGGCTGAAGTCGTATTTCCTGCAATTGAGTTTGGAGCGGTTTACTTTGAGTTTGCATCTATTGTGTGCTCTTGTGTTGTTATGGTTGAAACTGAAGTATTCCTTGACAGGTAAGTCATTGCAATGTATGATTTTATATACCATACTTAGATCAGGCCGAAGACGGCATAATTTAAGGTTGTAACTCTTGTGTTGGAAGGAGGTGGCCGAAAAGGGCACGTGAAACAGTGGTTAAATTGAAAGCCGTGATTTTTCACCTGGTCATTTCAGCCCCAGCTCTGCTAGGAAAGCAGGATGGACTCAATACTCAATAGAATGAATGAGCTGGAAAGGGACCTTGAAGGTCTTCTAGTCCAGCCCTCTGCTCAAGCAAGAGACCTAATACTATTTCAGACAAGTGACTGTCCAGACTCTTCTTAAAAACCTCCACAATTTCTGGAGGCAAAGCTGTTCCAATGGTTAATTTCCAGAGTGAGGTGGGATGGAGGACGAAAGAGACACCGAGACCACCCTTGGCACCCAACCACCTTCTGCCCAGAGACCAACCTCGGCCATCGGCTCCAGCAGACTGACGTGGATGGAGACGAGTCCGTCAAAACTCTCGTCCGGGAAGCGCAGCCCTTCCACGAAGAACTCCAGTTCGGCCGAGCCCCCCGTGTACTTCACCACGTGGCTCAACTTCCTCCTGCCCAGAATGTGTATGTAGCGCTGGCCGAAGAACGGATCTGGAGGACAGAAAAGGAAGAGAAGGCACGGGGCTCCCCTGAAGCCAAGATCTAACACTTGAGTTCATCGTAACCCTGAACAAGCCATGATGGCCCCTGAAGCCAAAATGCTGGCTCGGAACTATACCAGGGCTGTGGGCGGTGTCAATCTGGGGTTCTGTTTAAGGAAAAGTGAAGCTTGGATCGACTTTATTTTCTTAAAATTATGGGAAAGCGTCTTAAAAGGATGGAAAAAGCACAACCTTCACGTGGGACTTACTGCTTATGGCAAGAAGTAGAAACGGACACACTCTCGTTTGTGGGCTGCAGGTCGTCCTTGACATAACCATTTATTTAGCGGCCGTTTAAAGTTACAACAGGACCAAAAAAGGGGACTTTCGACCAGTCCTCACCTTGATAACCGTTGCAGGATCATCATAGTCACGGGATTAAAATTGGGACACTGCTGTTGTATTTACAACAATTGCAAAGTCCCAGAGCCATTGGTAACCTTCCTAGCCATCTTCCCACAAGTAAACTCAAATGAGGAAAGCTGGATTCATTTAAAGAATCTCAGCAACCAGAAATGGTCATAAGTGTCCTCTAGCCTTACATTTAGGAAATGGAGACCGGTCTTTGCGGAGAAGTGGTGGGATTCAAAAAAAGTTTACTGCCAGTTCTGTGGGCATGACTTGGTGGGCATGGCAGGGGAAGGATATACTGCAATATCCCCATTCCCTCCCCACTTCACTCACCTGCTTTCCAGCTCCATTTTCCTGTGCAGGGCAACCAAGGAGACCCAAAGGACGCAATGGGAGGAAGAGAATAGATGGGGTTGGCGGGGCCAGTCAGAGGTGGTATTTGCCGGTTCTCCGAACAACTCAAAATTTCCGCTACCCGTTCTCCAGAACTGGTCAGAACCTGCTGAAGACCACCTCTGCAAGGGAGTCTTGGGGGTGAGACCCAGGTCTTGGATGGTCCTGGTTGAGGGCTTCTTTTTACACCAGGGTGAAAAAGCTAGAAATGTAGTTTTCGCCATGCAAAGGGAAAGCAGGAAAGGCACTTACTCTGCAGGTAAAAAACGCCGACCTTGTCGGAGTCCGAAAGTGGAATGTGGAGAACCATCTCGTAGCCAGTGGGAAGCCGGCCTGGGCCTTGCGTTCTTAAGATCATCCGGGACATGTCCTCCAGATCTGGGGGTATTCGAAGCCCAAGAAAGAAGAGGGAAATTAAAGGGATGGTGGTGTCTTAGAAAGAGCATCTTCCTGGAGAGAAAGCGCCGACGGCCGCGTGGAGGAATCAAAACGCTGGGCAGACCTCAGAGGTCTTCTAGTGGGCCGTGAGAAAATTTTGGTGGGCCGCAGAAGAAATCTCACTCCCAGACCACCCTCCCAAAGCAATTAATCCAGGCTGCGCAGCCCACGTGGCCTGCGGGAACCCTTCCGGCCCACTCACTCCTTGCCTGCTAAATTGCTATTTTTCCTTTTTTCCGACCATCATCTGTTCTGCTGTGCCAGGAGATTTAGATTAGCTAGAAAGCAGGAAACGGTTGGATTTCTTGCTTTCTAGCTAGTCTTTAGGTCTTCGGCTCTGCTTTTAAGCACAGCCGAACCTCCCTTAGGACTGAAGGTTCTATTATTCAATGCAGACTCCCGGTAAGCAAATTTGAGAGACTGAGCTAGCCGATGGCAGATAAGATAGATCACTGAATGACTCTGTGAGCAACTCAATCTGCCTCCCTGCTTTGCTCTTTATAAAAAAATTCAATATTTACATACATGGTGTGTTGTGAGTTAATTTTGTGAGTTCGCCTGCTGGCAAATTTTATGAGTTTGCTTGCAAGCAAATTTTATGTGACAGACTGAGCTTGCCTGATGGCAGATAGATAGATCACTGAATGATTCTGCAAGCAACTCAATCTGCCTGCCTACTTTGCCTGATTTTGGGTAAAAGTTGTTCTTTTTTTAATAAAAAAATTCAATATTTATATCAATATTTATAATATTTACATACAAGCCATGCTCAGCCAGTCACACGACCACCAAGACACACCCACAAATTAGGCCACGGCCACAGAACCAGTTAGTGGTCCCTGGGATTTAAAATTATGAGTTTGGTGGTCCCTGAGGTCCAAAAGGTTGGCGACCCCTGTTCTCATCCAACCCCCTCCTCAAGACAGGAAACCTTATACCCACTCAAAGGATTGTCCAGTCTATTCTTGAAAGCCTCCAGTTCGTGGCTTAGCTTCTGCCAACCTCCAATTCTGTCTGAATCCGGCTGCCCCTTTGAGCTTTGCCGTTTCCCATACAGGCAGGCCTCGACTTAACAACAATTCGAAGTTACAACGGCGGCACTGAAAAAAATGTGACTTAGGACCGTTTTTCACACTGACGACCGTGGCAGCATCCACAGGATCAAAATTCAGCCGCTCGGCAACGTATTTATGACGGTCGCAGTGTCCTAGGGTCACGTGATCCCTTCTGACAAGCCACATCCACGGGGAAGCCACTTAACCACTAACAGCGGAGGCGAGAAAGGGCGTAAAAATGTCTCGCTTAGGAAGGGAAATTTGGGGCTCCAACGTGATCGTAAGTCAAGGACTACCTGTATTCTTTTTGGTTCAAAACACATGACAAGCCCTTGGGGGCAGACTCAAGACGTGGCCTGATGGGACTCACGCAGCCCAATTTTCAAAGGCTTCAGGCAGGATACGCCAGGGACTGTTGTGGTTAGCTGGCAGCAGGTGGGGACGGCGGAGGAGAGCGAGGACTCAGATGACGGGCCAGGACCATCAGGGAGTGGACTGCTGCCTTCAGAGATTGTGGGGGCTGGCAGCAGCGATGAGGAGGTTCCCGAGGAGCCTGTGCCAAGTGCGCATGCACGAAGGATTACTCGGAGGAAAGAACAATTACAGCAGCACGGGTGACTCGGGAGTAAGGCTGCAAGGTAATGGCCCCTCCCTCAAGAGGATAAAAAGCCAGGTTTGGAAAAGCGTTCTTTGCAGACAGCAAAGAAGCTCTGAAGCTCAACTGGTGGACATCTTAGTTCGTGAATCTTGTAAATTAGTTCTTATCTGTGGGTTTTTGGCAGCCTTGACAAACAACTTGGCCAGGCTCTTTCTTGTCGGAGCTAATTAGTTGGAAGCAGCCTTTTATCTGTGAAGAAACAGAATTCGTGGATGAAACCTTAAAAGGGGAGGGGGGCTGCTGCCTTTGTCTTGTGTTTGCTCTCTTGGACCCAGGTTGGGTCAGAACAGGGACTCAGGATGGCATTTCCCCCCATGCCCGAATTCCTGCCTCCATTCTTCTGCCCCTCTCAGAAAATCCATTTAGCTTTTCTTAGATATCACCACCCCTTCCTCTAACTCAGGGCTGGCCTTTTCTATAAGTTTGTCAAATCTTTTTTTTTTTTATTGCAGCTTCCTTACAAGAATTCAAGTTTTCTGCTTAAGACACAAACCCTTTTTCCCGTTGATGTCTTTACAACACACATCGCAAGGCCGTTTTACTCACTTACTAAAGCCTGTTTCTTTTTTTCTATTTAATTAAGCGATGTGCGTGACTTTATTTTGAAATGTAATACGAACCGTGTCGGCATTAGGGCTTCTGCTTTAAAGTTGACCTTTTTCGTCTTACTAAATTACAGGGGCTTTACACTCAAACCCATTTTTCTTCTCCTTGTTAGCTTGTGACCGGAAAACATCTGGCTGCATTTAGAACCGTATTTCATGTGCTGTGCAGTAGAGGGTGATCTGCAAAATGTATTTCTATCAGTTTTTCAATTTCCAGAACGTCCCCAGAGAGATCAATTGTATTGTACCTTCCTTGGAAAATACTTTCTCATCCTGACAGTCCTCCGTGCTACTGAATGGATTTTCTTTGTCACAGTTAACCAGCAGGATGGCACCCTGGCCGTCAGGGCCCCAGGTCCACGTAGCCTAGAAGGGCAGAATTTCACCTTTAAGCAGGTAGATTCGGGCAAAAGGTATTTCTCTACGACATGAGAGATGAGCCAAGAAAGATTGAGAAAGATTCCTCTGGATTCCATTCATGGTCAACATTAAAAGAATTCACACTGTCATTAGGAAGTCATGTTTCCAACACTTGGTGTGCTCCAGAACCACGTGAAAAGGGCCAAAATTTAAGGAAACCGTCTTGCATACAATCTATTATTCTATCTATGTCCAGTCCTTGCCCACCCTATCAGCCCCACGACTAAACCAGCCCAGGCCATCAATTCCACAGGAAAGTTAAAACTTACTTTCATGGAGCTATTCTAAATTCTATCCATCTTGCAAGTCTTAATATTGTGCATTCCCCAATTTATTTGTACGTGTAAGTTCTCGTTCAGTTTAAACTCCCTTTTTTAAAGCTAGGCTTTGATGTTTTGCAATTATGCAGTTTTCATGATGCTATTCTGAACCTCCCGGCGTCACTTAGGTGAGACCGGGGTAGTGTAGAAATTTAATAAACATTAACAATGAATAAATACATCATTTCCTCCTCCTCCTCTTCCTTATCGGGAGGTGCTTGCCTGAGGCACTTCCAAATATTAGATAAGGTGTCAAAATGTTCAGAAGACTTCCTGAATCCCGTATTTATTAATTAATCTAATTTCTATACAGGCAACTCATCTCCCTGGCTCTCTACCCTCCTGGTATGGATACACCTGGAGACCAGGTAAGGGGAGCGTTGCCCCTTTCTGCTTCAGCTTCTGCAGGTATCTTAGCCCAAAAGAAAAAAAAGAGATTTGAGAGAGAGAGAACAGTAACCCAACCGAGGGAATTAACTGTCTCAGCGGGGGACCTGGAGTAGCCTTGGGGAACGATGCCAAATTACACACAAGGGACCAAACAGGCACCTTTGCCAAGAAGTGGTCTGAATACCTTGCAGGCTGGAAAGAATGACCTCAGCTGAACCTGTCCCCCTAAGGCTTCCTGCTTGCGGATAAAGTTTTTTGGGAAGCTGTGTGTGTGTGGGGGTTTCCTCTGGACCAGGGACCCTAACCTCAGGCCCACCCATCTCACAACACTGCACCCACCCCCCCAGGAACCAAAATGAGAGGAAGGTGCTGTGAACCCCCAGAGGGGGAGAAAGAGCAGGCAAATTATACTGTTTGCAGAAAAAAAAAGGAGTGTTGGCTAAAATTTTGCCTCTTAATTAAAATCAGTGGTAGAGGACACCTCTGACCCCCCCAAAAGGGAATCTAAACACTCACAAAGCAACAGGGATGTAATTTTCAATTTAAACTTGAGTAAGCATGCGACAATTTTTTTGGGGGAGAAGTCCTTGCTTGGCTCCATTTGATAGAAATATTAACCGTTTCACATCTAGGCTTGTGAAATACAAACCTACAGGTGTGTCCCCTTTGAAGGGCCAGGTAAGCCAAGAATCTCTCCCAAAGGACTATTCCAGAGACATTTCTGACCAAGAAAGATTTGGAATCTGGACGCTTACCTTCTTTGGGTTGTTCTTCTCCACCACACCATCGTGGTCAGCGTCAACGTCCAAGGAGATTCCTAGAGAGGAAAAGATTTGGCGGGCTTCAAAAATTGAAAGAGAGGAAGAACAAACTAGAGCAAACCGCCAGCCGAGCTCAACACGTAGACGCTTTTTTTAAATCCAAGAGGCCCAGAATATTTTACTAATTGGAGATAATTTAAGAGCAGAGAGCAGCTTGTTGATCTGTAAGGAAAGCAAGGCCTTCTGCTCAGCTTCAGATGGCTTTTAAAATTAAAGCTATAATAATACTCTGCGAGGGGATAGAGGATTTCCAGACAGAACCAAATAAAGGGAACAGGAAGACTCTCACCTATGCCAGTTAGAAAAATGCCAGCCTGATTTATAGGGTGTTTGTCATTCTCTCCATAATATCCTATGGTTACCTAGAGAGGAAGAAGGAAGAATGAGGTTAAAACATTAACAGAGAAATGTCTGTGGAGATTCTCAGTCATCCAGGTCTTGGTTGTCCCAAAGGTGATTTTTTTTCAACAGGCAAGTAGACTTTCTGGTTTTTCTTTGAAGACGTTTCGCTTTTCATCCAAGAAGCTTCTTCAGCTCTTCTTCCTAGTCAGAGCTGAAGAAGCTTCTTGGATGAAAAGCGAAACGTCTTCAAAGAAAAACCATTTCTTGTCCCAAGTAATCTTAGATTCTCAAAATTCCTAGGATATAAGCCTCTCAACACTACAAAGGCTTCCATACAAAGTTACTTTATGGGGTTATATCAGGCATCCTCAAGGTATAACTCACAGTTATGCTGAGATTCATCTAATGTCCCATCTTTTGCGTTGTCGTCTTCATAGTGTGAAAATAGGGTTATCTCCATCCCATAACGATATAGCAAGGGAAAACTCCAGCATGATGTTGGGGTCCAGGTAAGAATGACCAAAACTCCCCCCAACCCAACCAGAGGTCAATTCAGTGACCAGTCAGGATTATAGATGTGACCACAGGACATGAACTACATCTCCCATGAGGCATGAACTACATTTCCCATAAGGCATTCCCTTAAGGGGACAGCTTCCATTCCCAACTAACTATGCTGTCTAACCAGCACACTATGTACTGTCTAACCAGCACAAACCAGTTTCCGCTTGAAAAAGCACTTTTGGGATATTAAAAAAAAACCTCTGCTCCAGAATCATGTCCCCTATTACATCAGGATGGGCAATTTCTGTGCATGGACCAGCACAATCACACAACTATGATAAAACAATCAAATGAATAATAAAAGCATAAAATTTTTAAAAATCTTCTTAAAACCGCATGCTGTTTAGTGGTCCAGTCCTTGCGAATTCCTGGGGATGAGATTCCACCAAGATCCAGGAACAACTAGATAAAAGATAGTCCTTGACTTACAACCGCAATTGAGCTCCAAATTCCTGTTGCTAAGCGAGTTTGTAAAGTGAGTTTGCCTCTTTTTACGACCTCCCTGGCCAGAGTTGTTAAGCGAACACCTGCAGTTGATAAGCAAGCTAGTAATATGTTTGTTAAGTGAATCCGGCTTCCCCATTGACTTGGCTGGTCAGAAGTTCGAAAAACGGGATCGCCCGACCCCAGGACAGCGTGACCGTCATAAATATGAGTCAATTGCCAAGAGTCTGAATGTAGATCATAGGGCCATGGGGATACTGCCATGGTCGTAAGTGTGAAAAACGGTCCCAAGTTACTATTTTCAGTGCCGTGGTAACTTTGAACAGTCACTGAACAAACTGTTATGTTATGACCCCGTTTAAACTAATAATCCAGACATACCATGGTTGGGAAAGGATCTTACTTTGCTATCGTTGGTCTCCACGCTAGGCTGGGTCATCTGGATCTGCAGGAATGTGGCGGGGTCCAGCAGCCATTGTTTAGCTCCGTTGGCGGGGGCCAAGTCCGACTGATCGCGGCTTATGACTTCAACACTGACGTCTTGTGAATGTTTCACACTGAAATTCACTGCTTCGGGTGGAGCGGCCCTGGAAGGCGAGAAGACGAAGAAGAGGAAAAAGACTCTGTCAATGTTCTGACCCAAACCTTGTTCCGAGGAAACAAACACGAAGCAGAGGTAACAGCAAAACCTTTTAATGATTCTTTACGAATCCCGTTCCTTCCCGGTTAAAAGGCGGTTTCAAATTAATTGTCTCTGATAAGAATGAGCCTTGCCAAGGTGGTGCAAGGCTGCCAAGAACACTAGATAAAATTGCCAAGAAATATTTCAAACACAAAGAGTCTCCAAACACCAACCAAGATAGTCCGAACATCCACAAGGCTTGAGTGCAAAAACTTGAAAACTGGCACGAGTTGCTTCTGGTGCATACCTGGTCTCCATCAAGATGTCAGCATCCCTTCCCGATTTCCCATATCTGCTCTATGCACGTTTATTACCATTTGCTCTCCTTTCCCTCCACCCTAACAGTTGGTGGCAGGATGCTAGCAAGGCGCCAAGCCGAAGATGGCCGAGCCGGCACACTGGATCTTACCTCTCACACATCTATTTTTAAATACAGTGCCAGCCATGCCCTTTATGGTGGCAGTTGGGAAACCACTTTGCAAAGGGAGAAAGTAACATGATGCTCACTGCGGCTAACAAATACAAACTTCGATTTAGGAGGAGCCTGAAGCACAGATGTCCAAGTTCTGGAAATTCTCACAAGCAAAGATCCGAAGATGATTCTTTAAGTTGTCCTGATACTCAATGAAACCAGAGAGAGGGAAAACTATCAGCTCAACATTTGGATCTGGGCTGGATAAAGCAGCAGGTGCGAAGAGCTGCTGGCAAACCTCATCCCGTCCGTTCCTTGGAAGATTTTTTTTTTTTTTGGTAAATTTTATTGGTTTTTTAAAAACAAAAAGAAACAAACAAAACATAAAAACATCCAACTTTCTTTCATAAGTATACAAGCAGCGTGCCGGTTGGTTTACAAATTTTTTTTGTGCATCCATTTCGTAGTCTTCAGTTACAGTTACATTGCATATAATCTCATATTTTCAATCAAAAATTGAATACCCTAGTATCATTATTAATCAATCATTTGACTATAGTTTTATTCATTCATATTTTACAAGATAACCATAATTTACTTAGTTTATTTTATAACAGATTCATATTATCCTACCAAATCTATCCTAAAAACAAGAGGATAAACAATTTTATAAAATTTGGGACCTTTTCTATCAATGGTTAGATAATAAAATACAACAATGAAATATGTAGATTTTTAGAAAATAATAAATATATAAAGATGTACTTTTTTATTATACCTACAACTTTATATATTTATTATTTTCTACAAATCTACATATTTCATTGTTGTATTTTATTATCTAACCATTGATAGAAAAGGTCCCAAATTTTATAAAATTGTTCATCCTCTTGTTCTCTAATTTCAAATGTCAATCTACTCATTTCAGCACATTCCAATATTTTCTTAATAATTTCCTCCTGCGGTGGTATTTTCTCATTTTTCCAGTTTTTAGCAAATACAATCCTAGCCGCTGTTAATACATTTACAATCAGGTATTTCAAATCTTTGCTATATGTATCCGGTAAAATTCCCAATAAAAATATCTCTGCTTTCAAATCTATAAGTTTTTTTGTCATTTTTTCCCAACCACATGTGGATTTTAGTCCAGTATTTTCTAGCGTCCGCACAAGTCCACCACATATGGTAATATGAGCCAGGTGTCTGATGACATTTCCAACATTTTTCGGATTTATTCTTGACCTTGGAAGAACTTAAATCTCAGTTTGCTGCCTGGTCATGTTTAGCACCCCTAGCTAAGCCCAGAGGGGCTGGTTGACGAACCATTTCGGTGCGAAAAGGCTTAATTCTAGATAAATAAACGAAAGGGATCGAGAAGGATGAAGATAGCGAAGCTGGAGGGGGGGGGGGAATGTTATTATTCTGCACAGAAAGTACTAAATCGCCCTCGGACATAACTCATCTTTGCAAGCTTTGTTTAAAACAAACAACAAAACAGGGACACAATAGGAGCAAGACCGTGGCACCCAGAATGTCTTGGCAGGCAGCCTCTTCGGATAAATGAACAAAGGACAATCCACCATAAATAAGCATTTTCAGGCACGGCTGGCAGCCTATTCTCTCTGTCTCCCAACGGAGGCACCCAAAATACTAACGGCTTGCCCCTTGGCACCTCCCCAAGATTAAAGTGGTTGGAGGTTCAGGCTTGGAACATTTTCAAAGGAAGGTCAACCAAGAGGTGTCTGGGCATGTGCAGATTGCCCGTTGTTTCTTCCCAAGAAGCCGGACAAAAAGGAGACAAGATAAGGATTGTCAAGTCCAAGTTGTGTCTCCTTTTCCGACGGGGCGTTGATTGCAGGGTATCTGAGACGGTTCTTCCTCCGACCTGAGCAACCAAGGCTGGGAAACCTCAGTTCCTCCTTGGAGCTAAAAGTGACCTTCTCCATTTTCCCTCTTTTATAAGCAGCCTTCAGAAGAGGGTCCCAGGCAAGGGTGGGATTCAATTTTTTTAACAACCGGTTCGGTGGGCGTGGCTTAGGTGGTGGGCGTGGCTTGGTGGTCATGTGACTGGGTGGACGTGGCTTGGTGGTCATGTTATTGGCTGGGCGTGGCCAACTCAACATCACTCACATCGAGGCACGCATCTCCTCGCCTGGCCTCTCATGACTGCGGGGATG